TTGGACTTGTTAAGATGTTGTTAAACAGCAGGTTTGTTCATCCGAATGTAAAGCTCAAGCATTTTCAAAGCCATAAGAGAAGACGCTTCAATCAGCGCTCAGATTTCGTTTCAGGGCTTCCACATCGGAGAACTGATATCCCCGTTGTCACACATCATTTACTGCAGAATTACATAACTGTCCCTTTATAATTAGGGAGATAACAGATGAAGAGAGTGTAACTTTAACATTGGTCTCTTTCTAAACTGTACATCCCCTCATCTACACACACACACACACACACACACACACACTCTCCCACATCTTATGGCATAATCAAACAGGTTCAGACAGTGACATGATGTCTTCACTGAGCTCAGGCGCTGCCCTATTTTGGTCGGAGGAGCTGCCCACTATCAAATGAAGGGCGAGTGAACGCGGACCACTCGGTGCAAATCAATAGGGATCAGCCTCGTGGTAATGCTGCCACCCCGTCCCTGCGGCTCAAAAAGAGCTCAGATCAATGCAGATGTGTGCGGTTGACAAGGATCTAAAGAGGGACGACGCTGTGGACGCTGTCCTCCTTTCCACTTGCACACAACACCGGCTAAGATTAGACATTCAATTGGACCTGGAGGGTGGGGGGTGGAGGAGACGGATTTGTGCACAGACTTGTCAGGGAATGTGTTTTAAAATTATTTGATATCATAGCGGCGATGCAGGTAGTGGTGGCAGGTCTAAAAGGTAGAGGTAATAACAGAAGTGGCAGTGGAAGCAGACGGTTCAGTTCCAGACACTCCATCATTACTTGCTCAGGTGCTGAGAGTTCTGCCTTTTAAAATCACAAATGAGTGAAATGACCACAGAGGAGCACATGGGCAGACACCTGTGAAGCCAAATTCATTATTCTTGTCAGGCAATTTCCAGAGTTCTTGTGAAAAAATTGTAGATATTTTTTGTCTCCCGCTGCGATCCTGTCAGATGGGAACTGGGACGTTTTCTAAACCCAAAATGAAGAGTCCTCCAGCTCATCATTTCTGGTGGGAAACCCTGATGTTTCTCACTTTTCTCACATGTAATTTGGGAAATCTAACATCATCACAAAGGCAGGATTAACCCTTAGTGCGTGCATCCTCTATGCATTAGCAAGAAATCTGTACGTTCATGAATCTATTTAAGTATATGAGCCACGTAAACACAAGGTAAACTGAAAAAATAAGGCTTTGATTCTCCTATTCAACATGGTGCTGACGAACAAATCAGTCAAATAACCACAAACTGATAGCCACACAACAAAAAGCAACATGTAGACATTTTCAAACAATTAGTCAATTAATTGAGTGATTGAGAAGTCATTAGCAACAAATGTGAAACTAATTGTATACGTCAGAAATGCAGAAACTCCACTGGTTTAAGTTTCTTCGATGTTCCTGGAAACTTACAAAGTGTTTCTCTGTAGCATTAAACATTCGTGACTAAATGAGCGACAAACAAAAACATCTTTACTTATTATTTATTAAAAGTTTAACGCTGAAAAAACGCTTTGTTAAAACTGCGTGGCTGTGGTTTGATCAGATTTGAACGACAGTGACCAAATAACCAAAACTGTTCAAACTTTGGCAGAAAATATTGGATTCTATCACTCACAGTAAGAAACTGACTGAGAAAATACATTTCAGGGCCTTTAAATTTGCATTTTTTCTGATTTTCCTCATCTTTTGTGACAGTAAACTGAATATCTTTGGGTTTGAGAACTGTTGGTCTGTCTAAACAACCCATTTGAATACGACACACTGAGCTCTAAGATAAGGCATTTTCACTATTTTCTGTAATTTAAAACCAAATGATGAACAGATTATAGAGAATATATTGGGCATATTAATCAATAATGAAAGTAATGGTTAGTTGCAGACTTAATAACAACAAAACACAGTGTTTTTAGGCTTTACAACAAACGTTCATTGTTGTTTTGATGCTACAGACTTTTGGACAGGAACTATAACATTATATAACGTGGTTATTGACGACTGAAAGCAGCCACAAGCACTGAAGTATCATGAAAGCACCAGCAGTTCACTACAGACATTCAAACAATAGCTTTTGGGTTTACCTGTGGTGCACCTACAAGGAGATTACACATCTGTGTGCTGGAATAAGCTTCCTGTTAACAGGCCCTGATAATAGTTGTGTTGTTAGACTTTTGGCATCACAGGTGGGAAACCTTACATTAAACAATGTGATTACAGTGCTGAGACCCCAGGCCTTCGTGGATAACAGTTGTTTTCCTGCCAACATGCTTTTTGAGAAGCCAGGTTTGTTTTGGCTTCACTGTTTCCTGTGAAACTACTAGTGAGTCTGACATTTCATTTTGGTTCACACTCGGCATAAACAACAACAGCAACAACAATGAAAAACAAAAAAAAAAAAAAACGCTGGGAAAATACTGCTGCTTTCAAGTCAGCGTTAGTGCGCCGGGCCCGGTTTAAATGTTTCAAGCCCGGCCCCGCTGTCAAGATGAATGGAGGGTTTTCACAGAGCCAGATGATGGAGGATCCCATTGTGAGGAACAGCACAGTGGTCATGTCCACTGTGTGATGTTTCACCTCAGGCTAGAGGAATCAAAGCGCCACCTGAGGACCGCAGGACCCACTCCTGCACAACAAACGCTAATCTCAATGTCAAATATCCTCACTTGAAATGTCAGCGATCTTCCCGGCTCGACCGGCCTGCACTGCCGCTGCCCTGCATGTTGAAATGAGACAATGAGGCAGGGATCTATTTGTTTTCACACCTGCCGGCTCAGTGTTCACTATAATCTTGCCATATTTACAGAGATTACATGCACATATGCCTGAGCGGGCACACAACTTGAACAGCTAGGCTTCTACAAGTCAGATAGCCATTAACTCAACAAGAGCTTGACATTATCGCGTGAGTCATGCTGCTCTTTCTGTAACGCTGCAGACCACATACAACATTTTTACAAACCCACAATCAAGGTAATGGACAAGGGTCATTCAGCAGCTTGATTAAATGACTGTTTCCTTCAAAGGTCGAGAGGTGACATGAAAACGTGCGGGGGAATGTCACACACGGAGGCTTGAGCGTAATGCACAGCTGATGCATCGTCAGCTGACATCAATGGGAGCCTTTCCTCCAATGGCTGATGGCGAGCCTGTGTGCTGGCTTGGCTATTTCTTAAGAAAGCTGCATTCATCAGCGGTGTAGCATGATCGTATATTCTAACGCTGGCAACCGATCTTGAAGTAAGACTCTGAAGTGGCTCAAGTCAGGCTTTACATTCATTAACAAAGGGGCTTGTATGCAGAGTGTGGTGAGCTAGTGGTGATGGGATATACAGTAAAGCTTCTGGCAATGACGAGTTATAAGAAATATCAGAACTAAGGCTGCAAGAGCCCAAGGTCTTCAAATGTCTTGTCCCAAACCCAAAGATGTTTGGACTTTTTTTCACTTTTTTGCTTGAAAAATCATGATCAAATATTTTTTTTTGACGATCACCTGATTGATTAATAGACTAATCATATCAGCTCTACCCAGAACAGAAGAATGATTTCAGGATGGTTCGAATTGATAAATACGTCCCTCGGCTTCAAACCATGATTTCAAAACCATCAGTGATAAAAACTGTGAAACCTGATTTCATGTTTAAATATAAGATCCATTAAAGTACAGCAGTCTGCTTGTGTAAACACAGAGAGTGTGCGTCTGTAAGAATGTGAGGTTTACAACTTGAACGCTGGAAGTATCTTAACCTAAAGAAGCTCTGTTGTCTTTTTGTCTTTGCCAGGATTAAGACATTGGACAGCAAACAGGATATAAAAGAAAGTGGACCATTGTTTAATTAATACACACACACACACACACACACACACACAGACACACACACACACACACACACACACACACACACACACACACACACACACACACACACTGTTTTCCTCTTCTAAATATAAGCTAGTTTTTAACTAGGCCCAGCTCATGTGCATGTGGGTCTATCTAAATGCATTGGGTTGGTAGAAGCAGACAGATGGCCTGATTAGAGTCGCGTTTTTGACGCCCGTGCTCGTGTCTCTGACACTGGCTGGGTGAATGGAGGCCATCTGGGATTGGCCAGGGCTTCTGTGAATGGAGCCGGGCAGCGCCATTCAGCACCGCGGACAGCTCCGCGCTGCCGTGGAGCTGTCCGCGGTGCTGGATGCAGCTCTTTGTGGCTCACAGCGGCCGCACACAGCGGCGGCTGTGTCCCTGACCGGCTCCCTCCCGCGTTTCCCGGACACCCACAACAGCCTGTTTGACCCACCTTGGTCTGTTATGAGCTGGTTAACAGCGCATGGCAATCAGAGAGCGAGTCTGGGCCTGGCTGGAACGAGGCCTCCGTGCGGGCCTAGTAATGAGCAAACACAAGTCGAAGCGAAAAAAGCCTTCCGCCACATTAGGCAAGGAAACCACCTCTTGACTTTAATGAAACGCTCTTGATATGAAGTGGGGCGGCCATGATGAACACCTGGCGGACTGCGACAATGCACACAGGACACAGGCTCCCAGAGTTGTTTGCATATACCAGCAGTCTCCTCTTCATTACAATGTGATAAACGCGAGGCTATAAAGGCTCAGGCAGCTCTAACAGCCCAGTCTAGGTTATCGATGCTTGATCAGGATTATTGGCTAAAGCAGCGCAGCGGTCTTCAATGTCAAAGAACAGAGCGTGAACTAAATGATGCTGGGTGCTGAAAAGACACTAGCAGGGCCTCCATCTGCACATTAGCATGGGGCCTCAACACAATGAGGAGATGAATGAACATGAGGCCCGGAGCCGGGAGTCTCCTTGAATCTGTCATCCGTCTCCATGGCGACAGGAGGAGGAGGAGGACCAAAACTGGCATCTATTCGGGCCCAAATCAACAGATGGCCACCACATCACTCTCCCCTCCAAACCCCCAACTGCCCCCCACCCCCAACCCCCCACACACCCACACCCCCTTCCCTTTGCAGCCTACCTTGCACTGCTCCATGCACGTCCTCACTGAATATGCCCCCGGCTCATATTTCTGAGTCAGGAGCTCAAAGTCCTCGTATTTCTCCTGGGCGTGCTGGTCGTAGCGCTGGTACGCCTGGACGCACAGGCTGCATCTGGTAGTGTCGCCATCGCCGAGCACGTCGAGGCTGCAGTTCAAATTGTCCGGACTTGTCGACCCGTAAAACAAATCCAGCAGAGAGTAGGAGTTACAAAAGGAAAGGTACAAATCGCTCATATTTACAGCCCGCGTCCCCTCTTTGTCGGAAAGGCCGCTGCACAAATGGTCGGCATCTGCGAAAGCAAAGCAGTTCTTAGATAAACTATCCTGGTGGCAAGTTTCGAGCCGCCACAAATGTTTGGTAGAGTTTCCTATAAAAATAGCATCTGGGTTTCCTCTGAGGCTGCTGTGTGCTGAGTGGGTCTGGGGTGAGAGGAGGTGGGAGGATGCGAACTTGTCCAGGGTCCGGGCCAGTTTGGCCTCGGCGCAGAACCACAGGTGATCAGAGAGGAGGATGGTTAAGAACAAGAGGGATGCCAAGGACAGTCGCCATCTCTGCGCCCTCTCTGAGTCGGTGAATGGCTTTTGGTTGTCGCGGGGGGGCTCTAGCCAGATTTGGAAGCCGTCGTCATCTTCTTGCTGCCAACACGTCCCAGCACCCCTGGTCATATTTTGGGAACCGGCCGACTCCACCGTGGGGGCTCCTCTGCCGCAACAGTCATTGACGTGGGGTCCGCTTCGCGTTTTCCTCCCCTCAAGTGTCGGGTGGTGGGTTGTCCCGGCTTGCCTTTGCTATTAGCGGTAATTCCCATCAAAATGAGCGTGGGTCGGATGGGAAATTAGACGCTGGCGACTGCGGGCCGCATCCTCCATGGCTGACCGGCGAAGCCGCTGTCCTCCCCGTCCGCCTTGAGCTCCGCGCCGCTCCGCTCCTCTGCGTAGCCTCGACTCCCGTTTTTAGAAACACTCACCGACGCGTTTACGTTTTCCCCGGCCTCGGTCGAACAGGGACAAGGGCGCTATTCTCTTCCAACATGGCGAGGCTGTCTGCCTTTGTGTCGGCGGAGAGGCCTACAGCCTGTAACAGACCTCTTTTCTTTTTCAAGCCCTCACCGTCTTCATCTCTCTGCCGTTGTTAAGTTGCCGCCATGTTCGCCAAGAGACGGTGTATTTGCAGGAATCTGCGTCAAGTCAGCAGCAGTAACCGGCAGCGTTTCCGGGTCTGACATTCAAAATAAAGGTCGCAGGCTGATTTATGTAGATTTGTGTGTCATATCTGCCTCATTTGACCCCTCAAATATGTGTTTAGACCCCTTCTCCAAGTTGAGGGTCTATTGAACTTCAAAATTTGAAGATTCTTAGACAAAAATAATTGGTATAAGCCTACTGCATTTATAATTACATAATTTTAATACAGCAAGGAAAAGAAAAACTAAATAATAATGTTTACTGCATAACTAAAACAAGATAACATTTCATATAGAATGTGTACAAACAAAAACATGTTATGATGCATCCAGGGAAGCTACGTGTTGCGTTTTATTTTGAAAGTCACCTCACCTAATATCCGGTATTCTGCTACTCTCTCGTGCTAACTTGGCCAAACTTCTCCGTCTCTGACGTTATGCGCGCGCACCGCAGCCGCCGCATCCCTCCATACGATGGCATGTCAAGTCCGAGAGGCCGCTGAAAAATTCACCAGAAATATTGTAATTGTGACTTCAAAATTAAAGCCTGTGTGTCAGTCTTAAAAAAAGAAATATTATTTAAACTATTTGTGTCTATAGAAGAAGAAATGAAGAAAACACTTACTTAAATCAGGTGTATAATAGATACGAAACAATAAAAGGTGCTTACTAGCTTAGTAGAGTTTGTAGTTTAGCCTGTTTTATTTTGAAAATGAATATTAGCAGACTTATTCTAGTCTTTATTCTGGTCGACTTGACTTTGGACCAGTCACACAGGTTGGTACTCACCTGGTTTCAGCCTCAGGCAAGATGCTCTCATCCAAAGAAAGGAGCCTGTTTCCTCTTTAAAGGACACCAATGCTTTTTGCATGTTTTAGACCATTTGGGATCAAGTGTGCTTCAGGCTGCTGTTGTGCACTTGTTTTCATTTATTTCTGTGTTGTGTTATCGTTGCATGGTGATGCAGCAGAAACATTAAAAATCTTACAAAGTTCTGACGACTCCATTACCACTCAGCGATAATTTTGAGAACAATTAAAGCAGACATGAGGTTTATTGTGACAGATTGCACAATTAAAGCAAGTCTCAAGTCTCTTAGAACAGTAGTAAATGAATGCAATTTGTATTTGACGTTTTGTTTTTTGGCCAAAACTCACTTTTGTAAATACTTGTATGAGGCTCAAGGTAGGAGACAGTTAGCTTAGCTTAGCATAAAGACTGAAAGCAGGGGGAAAGAGCTAGCCTGCATGGCTCTGACCAAAGGTAAAATCCACCTGCAAGCACAACTAAAGCTCACAATTAACATGTGGCATCTTTTTTTATTCTAAAAAGCAAAGTGTAACATCAAAACTAGCCGTCTCCTGGCTCTAGCTTCATACCCAGCACATATGAGATTGGTATTGATCTTCTCATCTCATCTCTTTTGAAAAAAACAAAACAAAACAAAACGAATAAGCACATTTCTGAAAGGGGTCACAAGCCCTTTTCGTTTATACAGAAAAAAGCTTACCGGTGTTGTCACTAAAACCACTTGTTACTTGTGGTTCTGTTATTCTATTCCTGATGCAAAAAGTTGCTTTTACCTGCTTGTACATTGTCCAGGCAGATAGTTTGTGTTGTCACCAGTGGCTCCGTTCTCCACAGTGAAAAAGATTTAAAGGAAGGGCTCTTATTCTACAAACAAATGTTTTTCCCCAAAGCAAGTGAGAGCTTATAAAAATGTATTAGACGCTGTAATTCAGAGCTAGAAGAGCCTGAGACTGATTCTAACTTTTACTGATGCAGTTTGTAAATCTGAGTCGAATCAACCATGACCAGTTTAGCAGACTTCGATTTTGGTCAAATGTCACTGATTTATGAACCTTATACCCCTTGTTTACGGAGCTTGAGTTGCTGAATTTCTTCATTGAGGGTGGGCCGCGCTAATTGCTGCAGACAAACCCTCCCTGCAGCCATGAGCCTGTGTTTGGTCTCTGCAGGAGCTCATTTATTTCAGCTGAGTGCGCGCAGCTGCTGGTTGTCTAGGGGGCCGCTTCATTTGTTTCTGCTTGTGTCCAGCGAACTTGCCATTCTGCTCTCCAACAGCTACAGCCAGTCTAATTAGGGCATTTATCCCATTAGGACATGGTATTTCTGCAATGCTAGCTTTCAGCGGCTGTTTTTTTTTTCTGCTACTGTTTTCATATCCACATCCTTAGGACTAATAATTTGCTCCTGTGAAACCTTTCAGAGGACCAGCAGTTGGACTATTCAATACAAACAGCTGTGCTGCAGTGACACAATGCTTCACATTCAGAAGGCACACAGGAACAAATGCTGGACGAGTACCTCTAATTAAAGCCTGTCAATCAAACGCTCACTCTGCATCACCTGGAAATAGTCCAGAGTGGGCGGCGGGTTACAGAGTGCTTACTGAAGCACATTATAATTTTTTTAACCAATAATGGAGATGATTTTTCTCTCAAACAGTTAATGCTTTTTTGGCATTTTTAACAAGAGGCATAACTTTATAAATAATAAATAAATAAAAAACTGTTCCTAAACTGGCACAAATGTCGTAAAAGTTGAATTTGAATGAAAATTATAAAAACTTAAACCCACAAACCCTACAGGGAACTCTACAACATGTCAATTAGAGCCATTATTCACACTATATGATTAGGAACCGGTGCCTCATCACTTCTACTTTGAAAATGTATTCATACGGCATTTGGGCACAACAATGCCCAGAACACCTCAGGTAGCTACCTGCACCCAAGAGGCGGTGGTAATGAAGGTTATAACATATCAATGAGTCCCAAGGCACATTGCTGACATTTTTGAAGACAGGAAAACATGGCGACATCTTTGTTGGAGGGCCTTGAGCTGAACCGGTTTTAACGTACCCCTGTGGTGTCCCTCGGTCTCTCTCTCTGCCAGCTGAGCTCACGCTACAAAGCTGAGGCCATCACTTCACACAGACGCTCGTTTTTAAGTTAATTACCAATTTTTAAAATTCATTAGTCACTCAAACAGTCAATGTTAATGCTGTTTTTTACCAAATCAAATTATTTATTAGGGTTGTACTTAATTTAGTAATTACACAGACATAAAAGCACAAAAGGCACAGGAAGAATTTCACTGTTTCCTTTTATCAAAAGGCCACCACCTATCAAGGAGGGTCTAACAAAGATGCTATCCAGTTGCATTTTGGGAAATATAGGATGTTTATAGGAGTTTGCCCCCTACATTGTACTAAAAATCAGAACGTCTCGCCTTCTGTTGCTTCAATTTTGACCAATCTTGCGATACTAAATCACTGGACTGCCCATTTAAAATGAAACAATAAGAATGGGCCATATTCCTGGTGGAGTATTCCCTAGTCGTTGTGCACTCATCTGTTCCCCAGGCTTTACTGATTTACATTAGTCCGCTGTGGATTGGATAAGTTCAAATCTAAGAACAGTTAAAAGTATTTTGAGAAACAGAACCTTTATATTCCCAGAAATCATACGCAGTGTTCCAGTTTTGGTAAAGTGGAAAACCTCTTCTCCTCTCCAGTAAATCAGCTAAAGGTTTAAAGAGAAACCAAAACACCTTCTGTGATGTCTCATAATGCAACTCTAACTTTTTGAACTGAAAAAAAAACTTTATAGTGGCATATTCATTTAAAACTAATAACAAGCAGCTTTAATCATTAAAAACAGAAGATAAAACTCATCAACTTTGCATGAAAGTAAGTGAAGTAACATCCCTGTACAGTCACGTCTTAAAACCTCTTATCTCACCCTTAATGTTGATGGTGAGTTTTTAATTGTTCAGCTTTTCTTTAAGTGTTTATTACTAATCTTATTAAGAATGAATTAAAATGCTTGATAAAAACAGGATATTCCTCCAGTGTCTTAAATCTGTATATATCACCAGAACCCTCATTAAACCAAGTAGTTATCGTCATTCATCAGATACCCTGCTTCAATTGAATCAGTCACCCATGAGTCTTTTACGATCTTAAACTTCTTCCTAAAGCGCCGCCTCAGAGTCTTGAAATCCAGAAGTCGTGTTTCCTCTGTGATTATGACGTGAGAGACTCCTTCCTCCAACTCCTGCACCACTGTGCCCCCGTGGTATCGAAACTCCAGCGCCCGGATGTCCAAACAGGTGGCAGGTATGGCAGTTTCAGGGTCTCCTATGTCAGCATAGCTGTCCATGTAAACTGTGAAGGGTCTGAACATACTGGTGGGAAGGTCGTCCCAGCTGTAACGCTGCTCGACCTGCGCGAGGTCCACGGCCGCAGCCGCAGCCGCCGCCACGCCCCCACTGCCGATCCTGCCGAAGACCTCTCGCAACTGCTGCTCGTCTGTGTCCACAAAGTAGCTGTCGCCGTAGCTGTCGTACTCCTTGGCAAAGTGTTCCCTGGTGGAGGGCGACATGTGGATCATGTGGTGTGGTTGCCATGGCACCACTTCCTTCTGGTTCAGGCACTCCAGCAGCCATGAGGGCCAAACCACGTCGTGCTGGTTGGACAAAATCAGGTTCTTCACACGCATGTTCTCCATGCCGGCAATCACGCAGTAGGTGTCCCGTCCTGGGTTTTGAACCACGATTCCTCCACACCTGACACGGAGATGACATCACTAATCAGTTATTTGTAATAGGATACTTTCAGTCATGATTTAAAGATGCTGATAATCTTTATTTATACATGGTATACAAACAGTGGCTCAAATGAAAAGCTCATAATTCATTCACAGATTTCATTTTACCTGGCCACGCCCTTCTCCAGCTCGGCCTTGGGGTGATCCTCGGTGCCGTTCAGGATGCAGAACTCCACATCTTCAAACATATCCGTCTCCTTGGTAACCCCGGAGAGGTCCTGAGGCTTGAAGTGGTCGATGAGCCCGATCACCTTCTTGGGCTTGGCTGCCACCTTGCGCTTCTTCTTTTGCAGTTCGTTGTCGTTGATGTGAAGGTGGCGCGAGGCGAGTTTCCCCGACGCCTTGCTGCGGAACTGATCCAGCTCTGCCAGAGTCATGCACTGGTGCCACTCCTTGTCATCACGGATCTTCTCGATCCTGGGGAAGCGGAGGGTACAGTTGGTTTTATACATGTCGCTCCCGACTATCTCGGCCGCCTTGACTTGGATGATGACAGAGTTGCAGGGTTCGATGTAGGCTTCTGGCTTCTCTGTGCCACACAGGATGGACGCCGGCGGGTCGTTCTTCCGGTACACTTTCCAGTGCTTGGCTAGCTTCAAACCGAGGTCATACAGCTCCTTCATGGTGTATCCAGAGCCGATGCGGCAGAAGCTGTGGAAAAGTGAAGGTTTCTCGCCAGGCTTTGGAGCTTCAGCAATGGCACATAAGAAATGGGACATCATACCACCCCGTCTCCCTTTCCCCCAGTAGCCACCGACAATCAGCAGGTCAAGCTCATCCATCAATCCATCAACGTATTCTGGCTTTATTTTCAGCCATCCCTCCCCTCGCTTGTCAGGTTTGTAGATGGATAACGGATCCTTCACCATGATCCCTTCTTCTCTGCTGTCTATGGCGTCATTGAGGGCGTTCACCACCTCTTGCACGGTTCTGGCTTCGGTCTGTGGCACCAGGTGAATCCTTCCCTTGACTGGGGTGAAAACCGTCTGAATGGTCTCATAGCGTTTCTTCAGTGTTTCCTTGCCAAGCTTCTGGTCATTGACTAACAACACGTCAAACACGCAGAAGCACGTCTGTAACTCGGAGTCCTCCATCAGCCTCTTGATGTCGAACTTGCTCCCTTTCTGCATGAAGTTCTCTGTGCTTGAGTTGTACGCCATCATCTCGCCGTCGAGGATGCAGTTCACGACGTGGCTTTTGAAAACATTGTGGATGTAAGGAGTTAGTGAGCCCTCAAGTGCAGATGCTCCAAACTGCTGCGTGTACTCAAAAGCATTCCTGCTAAAGTATTTGTACACGTCTCCATCTTTGTGCAGCTGAATACGCTCCCCGTCCAGCTTGGTCTGGATGTAAAAGGGGCTGTTGCCCATCTGTTTCTCCACATTGCGGATGTTAGCCACACCTGCCAACATGGGCTTGAAGGCAGAGAAGAGTCCAATGGAGACTTCGCTTAAAGAGACAGACGGGTTGTGGAGCTGCTGGCACACCTTGTTCAAGTCTGTGTTGACATTGTAGAGCTCAGCAGCGTCCGGGTGGAAAACCTGGAGAACAGTTTCTTTGCTGACCCCGAGCTTCATGTCCTTCAGGATCATTCTGATGAGCCATTTTTGCTCTAGAGCCGAGCTCTGGGTGATGAGGTGCAGGAGACTCTTTTTCACAAGATCCTTCTGATTGCTGGCGTTGTTCATGGCCACCGAGTCCAGAAAGTCATTGACTTCTTTGATGCTGAGGTTGCCTTGGCTGGTGCACCGTTTCTTCAGCACAAAGTACGCCATGCCCGCAAAGTCTCCAGCTTCTCCTTGGGATGTAGATGGAGCTCGGTAGTTCAGCAGTTTATTGGCCTCTGGGCCATTCTTTGGAAGGCCTAGTACGTCGATGTACAGTTTAGCTAACATGTTCTCTTTGATGCCATATGCCATCCGCTCGCGTTCAAAAGAGGGGACTATGAGGCGCATAGCTGGGTAGAAAGAGTCTGTTGTTTTGGGCTTGTCCTTGTGGAGGGCAGAATGAAACTTCCTCCATGATGCAATGAAATCCCCAAGGATCTTGGATTTATCTGGACGGAGTTTAGACTTCTGGATTTTCTCTAAAGTGGTACACAGGTGAAGGAAAGGAACCTGTGCTGCGACAGGCAGCTGGCCAGCAGCGTCACTTCTGGAAGTTCCCTCCATGGTGAGATCTGTAATACACGTCAAAGATAAAAATCATCCCAATAGAAATAAATCAACAATTTACTGTGCAGTTTGACCAAAGCTAACTTCAAAATTAATCAATATAATAAAGCAGAAATAATGAAACGTTTAATCAGAAGAATGCTCAGCTATTCTGAAAATCATTTTTCAAACAAACACAACCAACATTTGTCTGGAACCAGTTTCACTTTCAGCAAACTGAAAATCTTTGAGTTGTGGACAATTGGTCAGACAAAACAAACAAATGGAAATAATCATTAGATTCTGATTATTTTTACACTTATTATTATCAATTTTAGCTTCCAAAGGGTAATTTCAGTCTCCTATCATGGTCTAAAATGTGAAAGATAAAAAGTATTTGTGGGAAACCCTGAAATATTCTTTCAAAGAAAATTAAATTAAATTAAAGTTCTGAATATCTGCTTCAGTGTTAAGATATTATTATCATTAAGCAATATTAGTCCTCCTACTATAATATATAGATGGTTTTCTTTTTGACAATAAAAATGCCTTATAAAAAAAAATCTAAAATTTTTAAATAATTAATTAATCTTTGTTTTTTATTTTCGTCATACAGGTGGTCCATATTGAATGCAATCCATACATTTACTATAAACATAAAACTGAGAATTGTTTAAAAGTTAACAGGTATAAAAAGCCAGAACGACCACAAGAAACGAACCTACTTCTGTTTTGAAATATGTGTTTCTCTACAGACATAATCTAGAATATCATGTTTTCATAACAGTTTCTGACAGCATAAACCCTTAGTGTTAGAATAACAGAATTTTATCATCATTACTATTATCATTTTGGTTCCACTTACTCTTCAGTTGGAGATTATTGATCCACACAGGTCAAACTTCAACATGTTCTGACATGTCTCACTGTGACAAGCCAACCTGTTTTAATATGACCTGTAAAATGACAGACAGTAGATTTACACAATCATTCAGAAGAGCTGTCTAAACATGATAAGTATTTAATCAATTAATTACTAAGGATATACTTTAACTACTTTTAAACGTCAATATTAAGTGTAACATCTTCTACGTTAATGGCTGCTACAACTCCGGTTAATTTTCAAAATAAAAGTATCTGTTGTCATAGGAACTGTGTTTTGTCCGGGCATGTCTGTCCAGATAAGTTACGAACATTTGCCAAAAAGCAAAGCAATATCTAAGATAACATTTTATGTTCATAATGGCAGTTTAATGTAATATTCAAAACAAAACGTGAATGAATTCAGTTAAACGCTCGCGACGTTTAAATCTTTTTTAAGACCGCGAAAGTAAAAGGTACAAACAGTAAGGATATATATTAGCAAAAAACAATTAAATATAAAAGACTGAGCTGTTACTTTTCACCTTGTATCCTCCAACTCCAAACAGTGAGCTACATTCCCAACACTTCCTTGTATTCAAAGTAGGGTCCTTCAGGGAAAATGTTCCGCCGGAAACAAGAGCGGAACCTTTGTTTCCACACGGTGTTGTTTTGTGTTGTTAGGAAACTATTACATTTATTAACTAAACTGGAACCACGTCACATTTCAAATACGTCACATTTTGTATATTTAATCTTTAATGAGTCATTATGACTATAATTTATCAGATCACTGTGCTTTCCTGTTAATACACATTGTTTTATACCTATCGTGTTTCATTTTTAATGTTTTTCTTTTTTACTCTATCTAATCTTATGTAGCAAATGTTCAACTCGTTACGATTTAATGTAATATCAATATTAGTATTAATTAATATTAGCACTTATAATATTGTTGCTCTTCCATTCACCAGCAGAGGGCGACAGTGAGACGCTGCAGTGCTGAGAAGGTGCAGTGAAGTTGTTTACCATCCTTGACTTGTAGTAAGGTTGTAGTACAAGTACTTGTAGTACTTGTTGACCACAAGAAGGCGTTTCCCCTCATTAAAAGTCTTCTTCTTATTGTCACTAGATATTATATAATAACATTGCCTTTGACAATGTTAATAAAAATGATGATCATGCTGATAAGCCAGATGGGTATGGGATCATTTTAAAGACATTTCAGATGATTTCATGTATTTATACTAGATGCAAGCTATAGCATGGTCTCCATATCTTTACATGTGTTTCCTCCAAGTGCTTCAGTTTCCTCTCACATGCAGCACAGGTGAGTGGGAGACCCCAGTCTGCCAAGGAACTGAACTTCAGGTGTAGTTTTGCAACACAACACACAAGCAAAGAGCATCAGTACAAAATCATCCAAAAATCTGCAGAAATATTCAAAGAACGAGGGGGCAGAGGAGACCATTTAAAACTTAATGATGCTGCTAATGGCATCGTGTCAGTCCTCTTTATTGCATCTGCATGATGAGCACAAACCAGCCATTTTGAGTGGAAAAACAAGCTGTTATATATATATGTAATGAATTTGTATGATTTTCAAATACTGACTTGAACATAGCCGTTGTTCCACCGTGTTGACATGTAATGGATTCAGCTATTTACTTATTTGTTGCCTACAGCTTAATGACTTTTAACCTTGTGCTTTTGTTTCCATCACAAACTTGTTTTGACAGACATCATTAGGTGCTCGCTGGGGTAATTCCAAGTACATGCTATTACTTGTGTAGTAATGTAAAATCATTCCAATGATGTCTTGTTGTTCCCAATCAAAAGTATCTGAGGCTTGTACTGACGTAGATTCCACAAAACACAGGTCACATTCCTGGCAGAGGCAGGGCCGCTTCCTCAAAAACAAACACATAACTCGATGCTTGTTTCTCTTAAAAGTGACTATGGCAATCATGTTTATTGGAAGAGTTAATTGCTTTTTGTGCAATTTAATGTTTTAATGTGAAGAACTTCAGTGTTTGTGGGCAAGACTGTGAATCTCTTCCATCATAATGTAGGCTAATAGGATGAATAACTGGCCACGTTTTCATGCCAATAAGTAGAAATAAATGTTTCACAGCATAGTTTCCCATTGTTGACAGGTTATTTGTCATTTAGTTCTAGTTTTCTCTGTTTAACGTCAAGTGGTTAACTGGTAAAGTTTTGAGATTATTGATTAAATTGCTAATTTTTATGTTAATTTCTACGTAAAATGGACATTTTTATAGTTTCAAATCTTGCACTAAATGTCTAGAATGCTCTTTAACTTTCTTTTTTCTGGGACCCTTTTTTGGACGTATATAAAGATTAATGGACTACATGTCAAGATTTCAAGCACAGCCAGAGCATAACCCTGAAATGATATGCTGGTTTTCTTGCTGCCTTGTACAAACTCTTTCTTTAAAAAAAATAACCTAAACGCCAAAAAAGTCAAATCACAGGACCCACAGGTTTTAAAGCATAGATATGTGATCAGTGATGCCTTTGGAAGAGACTTCCAGTCTACCAGCAGGACTTCTAAATCTGAAAAATAAAACAGACTCTGACCCCTGAATCTTCTCCAAATTGGGTGATGTTCATTCTGCTGACAACAGGGGGCGCCCTGTGTCTGTGCAGGAGGAGCTGGGCAGCAGTGAGCCCTCAGTCACACTCCAGCCAGGGTTGTTTACTTCTCTGCTGCTACTGCTGCAGTGGAGGATCCTGGGATATGTGTGGGGAGGGAGGAGGTCCAGTTGGAGCCACTATGTGCTCCAGCAGTGAACCCGCCGTGTTTTCACTTCACACACAATGCAGTGCAGTGGAGAGGAAAGCTGGCTGTTTACACTGTATGTCTGCGCGCAGTATGTGCACACTCTTCACGCACTCTGCAGTAAACGGCCTCTCATGCTGTCATGCTGCAGGCACAGGAGTTACATAAGCCCTGCTGGATGTGCTGCTGCACTGCAACGAGCTTCGACCTACAAGACAGTAAACAACTGACGTCACTGCTTCCGTGGCATGCATCAGCTCGCACCAGGACTGAGAGGGAACGGGAGGTGGAGGTGGAGGAGGAGGAGGAGGAAAGGGGGTGCTTGTAGTGTACTGGTGTAGGACTGAGTGAGATTTTGGCATGGAGGGACAGAGGGAAAGAGAGAATTGGGCCGAGTAATAGAGCTAAAATCCCCCTCGACATGGCCGATGATTAAGCAGCGCATCAGCCTCCTCATTCAGAGAGAGCTGCTGGTGATGAGTGGCTGCACAGACAAGTCGTAAACACTTCCTGTCCCCTGCTGGTTGCTGACACACTGAGAAATGTGTTTGCCAAAAGGCTCATTGATTATTTACACTGATTGTACGAGCTTTCGTAAAGGACACTGGTGTGGGGAATCCAGGTAGAAGTCAATATTTACCCTCCTTTAAACGAGGAATTCCACCAACTTTACACATGAAGATCAGTGTACTAGTCATTCCAGCCAGTGAAAACAGCTGGAGAGGAAAAGCTCTGGGAAAATGAACCTGATGATGTCATAGTGATGTCATCAGGGTCATTTTGGACTCCCCTAACTTTAGGTAAAGTGTTTTTCTACCTTTAAGAAGGAAGCAGAGTTGAAAAGCTGTGAAAACCTTAAATTTGTGCTCCAGATTTAAAATAGCAATATAATCTTTAATATATACATACAATATTACATAATATATATATTGTATAAGAGATGTAATATAACACCTCGTATGCTAGTACACTACATATTATGTCAAGTACTATTCTGCCTTACAAAGGCAAAAGCCGTCCATGTCTGTGTTGCTGCGACACCTTAATTTCCCCCTCTAGATCAATAAGGACTGAGCTAATCCTATTTACTAAATTTAGCATAGCATACTATAAAATGAAGTGCGACATGTATTCTTGGTATCGGGCAGTACAGTGCACCAGCTGCTGACGGTGGCCCAGAGGCTGAAGCTGACATACATTACTGACAAACACAGCGTTCGTGTGTTTTCAGGACAGTATGTACCCACATGTTTGCTGCCTAATATGCCATTCCTAGCAGTTGTTTTATAAACAGAGTGAAAAAAAAGCCACACACTTGCTAAAGCCGCTTTTGATGCACCATCGCCTCAAGGCACGATTGAACTCCTCACCACATAATCTTAGAGAAATGTCAGGGGAGATGAGGACAGGGAGATCCTGTTCCCCTCAATTACAGAACACAAAATATTGTGCTGGGCTTTTTTTCAGCTGGCAGCGTGAGCCAGACAGCACCCAGTGACCTTCGACTAAAATTAGATCAGCTTCACACATCACTGCCATTCCACACGGTGATCTGCCCTCTTTTTTCTACCTGTTTAATAGCTGTCTATCTCTGTGTCTGTCTCCTCTGTCATAACATGCTGTGTCATAACAGCTCTCTCCCTCGCCCTCTCTGCTGTTATGAAATGAAATTTCCGATAAAATCCTTGACCATTCTCTGTTTTCATCAGGCCGACTGGACAGCCAGCTGACCTGTGCAGCAGTCTGGCTCGGTTACATCATGTGGCATAACAGCAATGGGGTCGAGAGGTCGTCACAGCAGCCCTTCAGTGACCCCGACTCAGCCTTGGTTTGGCTTTGCGTGTGAGATAACACCCCCTGAAAGTAATAAAGTGAAGCAGATGGACCTTTACAAAGAAGGTCAGGGTTAGATTATGGGCATCTAATAAAAACAAGCCAAAGTGCTCCTGAGGTAGGTCGAACCAACGAGTTTGCTGATAATTAAAAATTGGTTAGTTTTGATCATTAGCAAGAAATCACCACTGAAACTTCAGCACCTTGTGTCTGTCATTACAACGCTGAGTTAAATTAGTCCAATCTAGGCTCAGGTGTCACTGGGGCTAATTAAGCCATGAAGAACCACAAACAGTTATTGGATCCATTATCAGCACAGGAGATTTGTATGTGAAGGGAGCTGTTGGCTCACACTCTCGCCCGCATGTCTTTCCACTGTCACCTAAGCCTTCCAGATTGGCACCGGCTCATCATGTTAAATTTAAGCGGTTGCTTTTGACACCACAGTTCACGCCATCATGATTCATTTGAGTCAGCCCTGACACGTGTAACATCAAGGTATGTATTCTGATCTAATTTTACTTGTCACAGACAAAATAAAGGGTATTATATTTCCGTTTGTGCTCTGGGATGTGGGGTACCTCAGGGCTTCATTCTCGGACCTCTTATATTTTCTGTATACATGCTTCAGTGGGCCTCATTATTCACAGCCTTGTATTGTTTATATGTGGATGACACAGTTTTATATTTGGCTAAATCCTCGTGTTATTTTATTACCTTATTAAAGAACTAATTGTAGTACTTATATTGAAAGACTGCTACGGCCCCGTCACTTCTGATTGTGGACTATTGCTAAACATCGTGTAAGTCAAGAAAAGCTTAAACAATCAGTTGTTTCATTGATTAATCAACTTGACAAAAAAATTATAAATAGATGATAAATTATACTGATGTGTGTGGGAAGAGCCAGTTCTAGACGTTATTCCATTATCAATACCTGCTTATCCTTTGCTTGATAGAAGATCCA